GACCGTTCGTCATTTGGATATTTCTACAAGGACTTATGGACGTTTTAGTAAATGGTGTCCAGCAGGGCAAAACTTGTAATACGAGGTACCACCTGCACAACGCAAGGTACAACTCGCTGAAGCACCTGTGCCTTTATAAGGCAGTCATGGGCAGCAGCCATTTTTGGGGATTTTCTTGAGCTAGGGATTGGTTCTTTCATGGTGGATTCGACCTTGGGGACTACTTAAGAATACAAGGTGAGTTTTGTTTGGATATTTTAAGTTAATAACATCTTATTAACACTAGTATTAATATCCTTCAATCTTTGAAATCTCTAGAAATCTTTCAAGTTGTTCAAGAACACCAAATTTTCCAAACATTGGAATTTCAAGAAAAAGCTTCAAGAAGGTAATACTAATGCTTCAAGCTCATTTCTTATGAGTCGGTGAGAGTAATTCTAATAGTTGTTTCAAGTTGTTATGGTTGGATAATTGATTTCATAAACTCTAGTTCATGGCATGAATAGTGTTCTTGAGAAAATGAAGGAAAGATAAATAGTGTTCTTAGAAAATAAAATTAAAGGATGCAATGAACCCATGGAATCATATTCTAGCTTAGTTGAAAGTATTCAACTAAGTAATCACCGAATTGAATGTTTTAAAAATGTTGGTTAAGGAAGACGATGAATAGTAATTTGGCGGTGTTGGAGAATTAATGTAATATCATTGATGACTTCAAATGGGTATTGAATGATAAGAGTGGAGTTGAATATGCTAGTAAGTGAAACTATTAGACGATTTTAGCTGGAGGCTTGTAGCCAACTTGAGAGCCATAAATGGATATTGATAAATATTTTTGAGTCATATTTTGATTGTAATTGGGATTGTAATTGTAGATATCAATTTGTTGGTGGCGTATGAGTATTTTACTCAATGTTACGATATCAGAGGAGGATTAAAAGCTTGTGAATGTTAATAAAGCGAAAGCGAGTTTTGGAGCGTTGGGCATCAGTCGAGTTATTTGAAAGGCTTGGGAGCCGGCTATGGAACTTCGGAGCGAGGTAAGTCTCTTGTCTAATCTTGTGAGGGGAAAATTACCCCATAGGTGATTAAATTAATAATGTTGTTAATTGTGGGGGCTACGTACGCATGAGGTGACGAGAGTTCGTGCGTAGCTACTATTAATGCTAAAGTCTGGGTAGTTTAGGACACAAAGCATGAATTACTTGTGTAAATTATATTCTTTATTTAATATTATTATTTGATATATAAATTGTGAATTGTTAGAAAATATAATAAAGATAAAAATTTCATATGCTTAATTTTCTGTTTAAATTAATTAACTGTTTAAAGAAATTGTTCATCCTCCCAAATTTATCTTATAATGAATATACTCTCCTTCCGGAGGTACATAAGAAAATGTCCTTCTTTCTTTGGAAATTTATTGTAATTGAATTGCAGCTTGTAAAGCTATTTGATAAATTGAAATTTTTATTGAAATTGAAGGATTTAATTAATAAATTAAAAATTATTTGAATTGAAGGAATTTAATTAATATATTGAGAATTATTGGAATTGAAGGAATTTAATTACCTCTGCTGGTACAATAAAATTATTTTTAACTCTGTGAATCACGTTGATATAAATATTTCTATTTTCATGATTATTTAATATTATTGACTCATAGTGAGTGTCATAGTCGGCCATCTCGTCTCTACCTCTTCGAGATTAGGCTTGATACTTACTGGGTACACGTTATTTTCGTACTCATACTGCACTTGCTGCACATTTTATTGTACAGGTATATATATGTATAGCGGCCTTGTGGGCATAGAGGTATGGTTAATAATTATGGGGACATAGGTGAGCTGCATTCTATATTACGATCCAAAGCTAATAGAGTCTCCTTCAGAGTTATTATATTTTTCTGTCTAATTTGTATTCTACACAGATGCTGTATTTTATTTTAATTCCCTAGTAAATGCTCATGCACTTGTGACACCGGGTTTTGGGATGATTATGGGTTGCATTGTATTGAAAATTTTTAAAGATATTAGTACGTATTTGGTAAATGTCATCTTCTGCTATTTAGTTGAGGGGAACAACTATGACTTCAAAAATATTAAAATGAGAATTTATTTAGTATTTATTGTTGGCTTGTCTGACAGCTGTGTCCGACGCCATCACGACCTATAGGTGAAATTGGGTCGTGACACACACGCAAGAAAAGACACGGCATTTCTCGGGGGAGAGGGGTCCACACTGATTTTGGGCCTGACTTGGAGAGGAAAAATAGAAGGTTCCGGAATTAGCATATACCAGTGAATTGATCCGCACTTCGCGCAGTTATAATTTTTTTTATTGGATTTATAAAATAATATTTTTAATGCTCGAGTATTGAAATGTATTTAAATCTTTTATAATCTTTAAATCCAAATAGATTAGAATTTAAGTTAAAAACATTTTGAGAGGATGACTTGGCATCACTCAAAAGCTAAGAATGATTTTTTTTTCCTCCTTTTGAATTTTTCTCCTCTTTTTTACCAGCTAACTTTAATTGTTTACCTCATTACTTAACCACAAACACCAAACATCTTCATCAAACCTGAGTTAGGAGAAATGACTGATTATTATCATTTATTACTTTTGCTGAAACGTTGCTAATCAAACGGTTATAACTTTTAGTATTTATTTTAAGTGGCCAAGCAGATTCAAACAGTTACAAGTTTAACATCTGTTGCAGGTCTCAAGAGTATTGCTACTCATCAATCTTCAAGCACAGTATGTTTTCTCTTCTCATTTTGCTATTTAATAGTCTTGGTTATTTTTTTCTTCCTTATTTAAAGGCCCTATTAAATGTATATAATTTCTCGACAACATATAAAAATTTAACAAGGGTCAAATAATATATCTGTATATAATTTGTATCTTATCACAATCTCATATTCATAATTTAAGATTGGTTCTTGACCAGCATTATCACAATGAGAAAATATTACCTATAAGTTATTCCTTAGAGGCAAGTTGTTTTATGAAATAATAACAATGTTCTTTTCATAAAATAAAACTAAACCTCTAGTATGCGAAAAATATGAAAGGATCAACTCATTTCTATGCTATAAGATCACAAGATGGTATAAGATATAAGTACATGAACTAAATTTAACCTCTCTATCACTATATGAGCTGATTGTGTTCTTTTTTTCTTTCTTAAAAAAGGTAATACAATTACCAGGGACCTATAGTTTCGACATGATAGTTTCTTATACTGCACTTGCAAATAATGCCTCGGCATTTGATCAAGTATATAAAAGATGCCATGGTGGCACAATTGAATCACATGAGTTGTGAACTACTAAATTAAGAAGACGTCCGCACAAATATATTCATATCTTGCACCTATAAGAAAACATGAGATTACCACTGTTTTTAGTGGAACAAAAACAAATCTATATATAATTAGCATTTAGTTGAAAACAAAAAGGCATGAAATTTACTTACACATATCAAAGCAAGCTGAAGGATATAGTTGTAGATATATATAGATCTAACTTCAAGGCTGTGAAGAACCTTTTCAAATTCAATAATTAAGCGGTGTCTTTCCATTTTCTAGCTTAATAATCCGTTTTTGCAATCATTTGAGCATTCCTTAGGAAAACCAAACGGCTACTTGAGCTTTATTAGGCCTATTTCATTTACTGAGTATTTTAATTAATTGTTTTGTAACTGAATTAAATATAATGAGATGTAATAAATAGGTTAGAAAATGATCATTTTTCTATTATTATACAAATTAAATGAAAAGAATGAAGGAAAAATACAAAAAAGGAAGAAAAAAGATAAATAGGATCATTGGCGAAAGAAAAGTGACATTTTACTTTTGTGTGAAGAGCTAACTTAAAACTTCCTAGTTCTTTCTTAACAAAGGGAAGGATGAAGATAAAGGAGAATAGTTTATTTATTTTTTCCTTGGCATAAAGGATTCATAGTTTTCTTTGTTAGTTGTTTGGTACAAGTGCTGTGGAAGTAATAGAAGCGTGCTTTATCATCTTTATCTAATTTAAAATTGATATAAAGAATTTAAGTGAATATATATAGGAATTCTTCTACTTTTCTTGTCTTTAGCTTCTCAAGCGAAAATAACTCTTTAATTAGGTATTATCCTTCTTCTTTCTTTCACCTAAAAAAATGGTTCGTTTAATAAAAATTCATTTAAGCAAATTCTGATTTTAGTTATATTTTTTAATTTTAAGGTCTTGATTTGGGGATTAGATTGTTTCTTTATTAATAGCAATCAAAATTTATTCACTTGTCTATTCTCGAAGACAATTTATCCATATTTTCACAAAAGTTCTTTCCTCCCTTAAAGTGATAAGATCAAGGAGAAGAAAATGCCTGCCTACTGTGAAGTTATTTTGTTGACCAAAGAAACAAAATGTTTTTTTTCATAAATTTAAAAAATATATTCTAAAGAAAGAAAGCCCATTGTTGTTTGGGTAAAAACTAAACTAATCAAACACAAATTATTTTTAAAAATTCTTAGAAATTTCACCAACAAAATATTTTTCAAAAAGGTGTCGAAATACTAATAACACTAATTGTGTCAAAATGGTAATTCGGAAAGTGAAACAAACATTAGCATCTGTTAATTTCAGATAATTGTTCATCCTTGTTCTTAAAAGTTTCAAATATTTTCAAAAATATTTTCAAACGGTAATGTATGAAACAAATATCATCGTGTATTTTTGGTACTCATGTTAGTTTCGAAACACTGAGTACCTAGTTTCTTGCTTCTTGTTCTAATGTTATTTTTGGTGCTAATTTTCTTTCTCATTTTTTCTGTCTTCCCTTTCTTTTTGTTTTTTTTCTTTTTTTCCCTTTCTTCTGACTTTTCCTTACCCATCACTTATTCAACAAAAACTAAAAATCATTACTCTAGATATAGGCAAAATCCCTTTTTCTCCAAGAATCGGACCACCATCTTAAAAATATTCCTTATCTCATGAAATCCATCTATACCAATCACATTTTTTTACCACCTTCTTCCATATATAGAAGACACATAAAAGAAACAAAAGAAGAGAAAAAAGAGTAAGAAAGTTATTGCACGCAGTTTTACTTTGTATTTTTAAGCGTGTACGGGGAATAATCGGATTATAAAGGTCTATTATATTAAATTCTCGGTATACACGGGTACGAAGAATGGCCGGATCATAAGAGTCTATTGTACCCAATCTTACTCTGCATTTCTGTAAGAAACTGTCTTCACAGCTTGAACTCGTGACTTAGTGATCACATGATAACAACTTTACCAGTTACACCAAAATTATTAACGGAGCCCCAATATAAAATTATTGGAATTCAGTCACTCCACGTGTCCAAATTTTTTGAGAAAAAAAAAATCCAAATCTACCCCTCAGCTTTCGATCACAGATAATATATAATCTCAAATTAGTGGATTCCGGTCACTCCACGTGCCCAAATTGATGGATTCCAGTCACTTAGCCTTATCCTTTTTATCACGTTATGATGGAAAATTGAGAATTTTGTTGCCGGTCTTGCATGGTTTCTTATGAAAATAGGGTATCTTATGTCGGTTGTGACTAATTTATGAATCTATACCTTTGCTTGAAGCTCCACGTCTTGTAGCCTTTCTTTTTCTACTAATAACTTGTTTAGCAAGCTTTTTTTTTTTGCTAAAAATATTATTTTTATTACAATTTTATTTTTAAAAGTTAAGGTGTTTGACCAAACTTTTAAAAGTAAAAAATATTTTTGAAAAACAGATTAAAACTTTTTTTTTTTGAAAAATACTTTTGAAAAGAATAATAATTAAAAATACTTTTTAAAAGCTTGACCAAACAATAATTACTGTTTAAAAATATTTTATTTAAAATTAATTAATCAAATACAAATTATTTCTCATAAAAAATACTTTTGTAAAATGACTTTTGAGAAAAGTATTTACAAAATAATTCGAATTTAAAAGCTATAAAGCTCTATTTGTTAGGTACCTAAACTAATGGGAAGAAACAGGTCATTTTCATGATTTGACTAAATCCAACAACAAGCCCTGTGTAATGATGATGACGAAAAATATGAGTTCTATATGGCAATTGTCACGACCCAAACTCCCTCCGTATAATGTCGTGACGACACCTAGTCTCTACGACTAGGTAAGCTTAACAAATTTCGAAAAATAACAAAAAAATGAAAGTAAAATTTGGCAATTAACAACAGTGGATAACTGAGTAACTAGTAACAATGCCGCTCGGCATGTACAATAACCAATACTAAATAAATACACAGTCTTCCCAAAATTCGGAACATCGTAAGTCACAAACTACAGAAGGAAACTAGAATCTCTATACACTAGAGTCTAACAAAAGAAGTACGGAAGGTAAATGACATAGGAGAGAATAGAGGGGGACTCCGAGGTATGCGGACGCAGCAGATGTACCTTGAAGTCTCCGTACAACAGCAAGCACTCTCAGCTAATAGCGAGGTTGATAAAAATTACCTGGATCTGCACATAAAAATATGTGCAGAAGAGTAGCATGAGTACACCACAATGGTACCCAGTCAGTGCCAAGCCTAATCTTGGTCGAGTAGTGACGAGATCAGGTCGGGTCCACTGGTAAATAATAAATAAGGTAGGAGAATGTACAATATAATAAGAGACTGGAATATAACAAAAGGAAACATAACAAGGTAGTAGTACAACACACAAGGGTAAACAGCAGGGGATCTCCCGAGATACCGTCTCGTAGTCTCAAAATAAATATGCAGGGAGAACTCCCGAGGTACCGCCTCGTAGTCTCAAAAGTAAATCTACAGGGAGAACTCCCAAGGAACCGCCTCGTAGTCTCAAAAGTAAATGTGCAGGGAGAACTCCCGAGGAACCGCCTCGTAGTCTCAAAAGTAAATGTGCAGGGAGAATTCCCGAGGAATCGCCTTATAGTCTCAAAAGTAAACACACAACTCAAACCGACAAATACAATAGTTAACAACAAGGTCTCTACATTTATACGGATAAAGAACAAGAAAAAGTAGGGAATCAACTAGGCATGCTTCACAAAGTTCAAATAAGTAGTTAAAGCACGTAGACATGCGATATTAGACTAAACAGGATAACTACACATATTGGAATAGCTCAAATAAGAATGAAAATAGACTAATACTCATTTAAACGGTATAACTCAAATTAAAGAAAAAACAGGTTGCTACTCAGTAAAATAAATCAGATTTTACAATAAATAGCCCGTGTAAGTACTCGTCACCTCACATACACGGCGCTCACATATCACAACAGTACCAAATTCTAAGGGAATTTCCCCCACACAAGGTTAGGCAAGCCACTTAGCTCGAACCAAGCTCAATCAATCGGTAACAATGTCTCTCTCTCGATCATCCGACTCCGAATGGCCCAAATCTATCCAAAACTAATTACATATCATAAATACAACTATAATAGACTAATCTATTTAATGAAATCAAGACTTTAACAAAAATTCCAAAATTCATCCTAAAACGTTGACTCGAGCCCACATCTCGGAATCGGGTAAAAATTATAAAATTCAAAAGCCCATTCACTCAAGAGTCCAACCATACCAATTTTATCAAAATCCGATCTCAAATGACCACTCAAAACCCAAAATCAAACTCTTCAAATCCCTAGCCTCAAACTCCCAAATTCCACCTTAAATACACACTAGCTAGGTGGAAAATAAATGGGGAAGCAAGATTATTGATAAAAAATAAGCACAAGGGACTTACCTCACAAAAACCCTCGAAAATGCTCTCAAGAAATCGTCAATCCGAGCTCAAAAATGAAGAAAATGGCCAAAAATCTCGAAACCTCGCTT